AAAAAAAAAAAAAAAAAAAAAAAAAAAAACTTGGTAAATGTTGGTTTATCTTTTTTCAGTGTTCTTCCAATTTTATTTCTTTTTTCTTTTTAAAGCCAAAAGTCAAAGCTTGTAGTGAGATTCTTTTAAAAATACTTCATGATTGGTTTTAAAATCATTTTTTTCTGGATAGTTTGAAGTTTTTTGCTTTATTATTCTGGATAAGAAACATGTCAGCTGAGCACGGTGGCTCATCCCTGTAATCCCAGCACATTAGAAGGTTGAGACAGGAGGATCACTTGACCTCAGGAGTTCAAGACCAGCCTGGGCAACATGGCAAAACCCCGTCTCTACAAAAAGTTAGCTGGGCATGGTAGTGTGCACCTGTAGTCCCTCGCCTACCCCAGAGGGATTGCTTGAATCCTGGAGGCATAGACTGCAGTGAGCCAAGATCTCACCACTGTACTTCCGACTGGGGTGAACAGAGGAAGTACAGTGGTGAGATCTTGGCTCACTATCACAAAAAAAAGAAAGGAAAGGGAAAGGGAAGGAAAAGGAAAACAAAGAAATGTGTCCTCTGCGGGAGGCTAAGGCAGGAGAATCACTTAAACCAAGTGAGCCGAGATCACGCCAATGCACTCCAGCCTGAGCAACAGAGCAAGACTCCGACTTCGGGGGGCAAAAATCATGTCCTCTGAATGCTTTCAGATCTTGATGGTTTTGACAGTTTTGAAGGAAAAACAACAAAAATAAATCTTTTCTCAGAACAGTAACTGCTGTTTTAAACAGAACCAAACCCTTCAAATTTGCATTTAAAAATGCTACATAACCAGTACCCTCACCTTTCATTAATCATTAATACAATGAAGCCACTGCCACTCACATACTTATTCAGGGGCACATCAGTGGCTTTTGTGGGCTCTATCTTTGCCCTCCCCCTTTTCTAACTTATCTCTCAGTTTCCATAAGTCTTAATTTATAGATAGAATCTATTTATGTTTTGACTTTGAGAAATAGAGCAGAATTTGAAAACAGTATATGGCAGTATTTCAATATTTTAAAAACCTGTTTCCAACAAATTCTCTTTACAGACGTACAATAGCTGTGCCAGACTCTGCTTAAACCAAGAAACAGTATGTTTAGCAAGCACTGCTATGAAGACTGAGAACTGTGTGGCCAAAGTAAGTAATATTACTCATCAGTGTATATTGTAACACACCATAACAGTGCTGTATCTGTAGGCATCTTTACTCAGTATTGCTTAAGGACTGTTACAGGATTATATATTCAAGAAAAAATAAACAGGCATCATTTTATCTAGAACAGACTGCAAATTAGATTCTCCACTTCTTAATTGCAACAGAGTCATTTGATCATGAATTCTGGTCACACTTTAGACTGATTCATATTTGTTGCTTGACACTAGTTGTAGCTTATCACATATCAGTAAAATTTGTATAAGATAATGCACAATTGTTTTGATAAGTTTTTGTTTTTTAAATGCAGTTATATATAGAGTACATGGTTGCAAGATTGTGAAATATGCTACAGAAAACCCAATTATTGTGTCACTATTATTATTTATTGAGTGGCTAATGTTAGAAATACTGTTTTGGTGATCTTGATCCACATGAACATGTATGTTTAGTCATGTCTATGGGCTACCCCTTTTTCATGTATATATATGTCATCTCCATAGCCTAGATGTAAAATTAATCTTAAGTATTAGAAATCTGATGCTTTAAATTCAACTGTCAGACATTTTATTTTAGGGGTAAGTACTATTAAGTATGGGCTCTGTTTCTTTTACTTGAATTATCTACAAAAATACTACCGTTGTATCTATTCACAGATTTGCTGCTGTTACCGCATTCTCAACTTAAACTATTTTAATTCAACCTATTTTATTATAGACCCAGGCCCTTAGTTCCTTGCAGTTATTATTAGAGCCAGGACTGGTGTCATGTAGTTGCTATCTTTTGCTACAAAAATCCACGGGCAGTTGTCTTAGTCCATGTAGACTGCTATAACATAAACACTATAAGCTGGGTGGCTTATAAACAAAACTAATTTTTTTCTTATAGGGGCTGAGAAGTCCCCAAGATTAGGGCACCAGCAGATTCAGAGTCTGGTGAGGGTTTGCTCTCTGCTTCATAGATGGTGCCGTCTCACTGCATCCTCACATGATAGAAGAGACTAGCTAGCTGTCTGAGGTCTCTTTTTTTAAGGGCACTAATACCATTCACAAGAGGTCTGCCTTCATTAATTTGGGAGAACACAAACATTCAGACCATAGCAAAAGCAGAGTTTTTTATTTTTCCTTAAAACATGCAATAGTCTGTGAGCCTGCTCTATCAACTGGAAATACATCACACAAATTATAACCATTGACCTTATTTTATTTATTTATTTTATTTTATTTTATTTTATTTTATCTTGTTTCATTTTTTTAGATAAAAGATCTTGCTCTGTTAGCCAGGCTAGATTGCATGGCACAATCCTAGCTCAATGCAGTCTTTACCTCCTGGGCTCAAGTCCTGTTTTTCCTGCCTCAGCCTCCTGAGTAGCTGAGACCAGGGGTGTGTGCCACCACACCCAGGTAATTTTTGTTTTTTTGGTAGAGATGAGTTGTCACTGTATTGCCTAGGCTGGTCTCGAACTCCTAGCCTCAAGTGTTACTCCCACCTAGGCCTGCCAAAGAGTTGGGATTACAAGCATGAGCCACTGAACCCAGCCCAAGTCTACTTTATATCCTGCTTTTGTGCATGGAAACGGGTACACAGTTATTTGGGCCTTTAAAAATTATTTTTTTATTTTTTATTTTTTTGGCCATGCTCTCAGTTTTATCACAAGTAGGTGACTTCTGGCTAAATAAAGTAAAATTTTAGCATGAGTACCAATCCAAGAGCAGGGATTTTAATGAGTTTCATTGAGAGCTGGCCAAGTGAGCATCTGTTCCTTTTGTTTTCTCCATACTTTGTAAGCCAGGATTTCTAATCTAAATAGTTAGGTTGGTGTATGTCTATATGATGTGGAGTTTTTTTGTTTGTTTTTTTTCTCCTACCCTGTCCTTTAGTGGTACATGGTTAAAAATCTTAGAGCATTGGGCACAATTATGTAATTTCTTCCATGCTCTTGGATCTTGGGTGGGAAAATAAGTTTGCCCATTGCTGCTCATCAGTCTGTTTCACTTGCTCCCAGATGGCGACCCTCTCATTGCATTGTTGCTTGTTTTAACATTATTCTGACACCCATATCCTTTCACCATCCTCTTAAATAATATAATTTAATAATGACGTCTATCATTTCCTACTGAAACCCAGCTAAATCACTGGTTCCTTTCATTGGCCCACATCCTGTCTTCTGGTTCATTGCTTCAGATTTGAGCCAAATAATCAGTTGGTCAATGTCAAATAAAAACACAAATAGCTGAAAAATTTTCTTTCTTGCAACAATCTCCAGTGAGGTACCCATAGTATGAGAATAGTGAAAAAGATTTTCCCTTTTTTTTGAGATGGAGTCTTGCTCTGTCACCCAGGCTAGAGTACGGTGGTGCCATCTTGGCTCACTACAACCTCCATCTCCTGGGTTCAAGCCATTCTCTTGCCTCAGCCTCCTGAGTAGCTGGGATTACATATGTGTGCCACCACGCTCAGCTAATTTTTGTATTTTTTAGTAGAGACAGGGTTTCGCCATGTTGGCCAGGCTGGACTCGAACACCTGACCTCAGGTGATATGCCCACCTCGGCTTCTCAAAGTACTAGGACTACAGGCATGAGTCACCGCACCTAGCCAAGTTTTTTCTTTTTTATTTGCATGCGTTTTGTGTGTGTCATGATTCCTGTTTCTATTGGCCTCATTTATTGCTTGACCTTTGAATGGAATGACTCATCATTATTTTTGTTGGTCTGCAAGCTTGTCCCTATTTCCTGTTCTTCTCCTTTAGCCCTTAACTGAATAGTTTCATCTCTACATTGATATGGCTGCAGTGTTTTCTCAACTTGGTACAAGTGTCTGTTGTTGATTCAGATTATACTCCATTGTAGCCATAATCTGTAACCATTTCCATGTGAAAACAACTATAATATAGTGATAGCAACCATTTTTGTTCTCTAGTTTAAAGAGTGACTTTCGTTTGGCCAGAGATATTAATTATAGTCCAAAACCTTATTGAATATGGTTCATGTGAGTTTTAGAGAAGACATTAATACCAGTTATTTCCCTAAAAGCAGTAATGGTATTATGTTTGGACCCCTGTGTGTAGTACCTTGAATGTGACTTTTTGCCAGAAACATCTTAGTCTTATAGTAGCTCTATAAAAAGGGTGCCCATTAGTCCTCAGTAGAATACAAGAAAACAAAGCTGTAAAACAAATTAACAACCACCCTAGGTTGACAATAATCTTGTGAATCTTTAACTTGAAGAAAGAAGCCTAAGAAAAGATTTAAAAATAAAAATGGAGGAGGGTCTATTTTATCACCATAACTTAATACAAGTAATATTTGGAGGCATTGAGATACCTTTTATTTTTTTCAGAATTCTTTCAACTGGTTATGGCCCTGTGTTTCATGAGATTTGTGTTTAGAGCATGATGAGCTTTATGTTTATTGTAGCTTTAAATGGACAGTCATTATTAACTGTCAACTTAGTCTTTAAAATCTATGATCACATTGTGTGTGTTAATGTCAGCCTTCATGATGTTTTTTAATTGGTAAAGAAAACTAACTGGAAGGCTGAGAAACATTATTTTTTTATGTTATCTTGCTATTGACTTTATTAAACTATTGCTGCAAAATTTGATCTTAGTTTTTTTCCACATTTACCCTTACCCACACCCACAAACCGATACACAAACACATACAGTTAAAATTGAATTGTTTGAATCCATCTATCCAGATTCCTGGCTCAGATAAGAGAAGCTTTTCCTCTTTATGTCTGGGAAATAAACCCCTTCAGTCGTCCTTTGTGGATGTTATGTGTTTTAGTTGTTGTTGTTTGTTGTCACTGTTTTTTTTATTTGAGACTAATAATCTGTTTGAAACTGACTGAGACAGAAAAATGTGATGTTCCTTTTCACTCACTCCAGATTTTGATAGAAGACTTGTTTTATTTATTTCCAAAATTATATCCGCAGGAAACAAGCTGTTTAAATTCAGATTATGCTGAAGTAAAATAGTCCTGGTATGAGAAGCAACGTGCTGTTTTACGAGCACAGAGTCCCTTTTCTCATAACTGATTGATAGTAAATATTTTCCTGAAGAATTATTGCCAACCATGAACAGTGCAACTGTTTCACTTTTTTTCCGTGCTACTTGCTGTACCAGCCATTGTCGGTAATTAAGATCTACAATTCACAATGCAGACGTTTGCACTTCCTCTGGGTCTGCGCTATTTATAAGGCATTTCAGCTGTTCAGAGTTTCTTTTGAGTTTTAAACTACATGTTAACAGGCTTCTTTAATATACTGTTCCACAAGTAGCATGTCAGATGGTCCGTTCTTCACATAGGTGCCTCTGTCAGGTCTAAACATGAGCTTTACGGAGAACATACTGAGATACAACCGTGTCATTGAGGCTAATGTGGTTGGAAAAACTCTGGGGTATAACATGTTACACATTAGGCTTATTGTTCTTTCAAAAAGACAGGAATGAACTTCAGATGTAATATTCTTTTAAAAAATCTTTATTCATATGAGCTTAATATGTTAATTTGGTTTACAGAGAAATACACAGTTAAACGACTTTTCCAAGTTTACTTGGCATTAATAAGAGAAACCAGGACCCCTCTTACAGACAAGAGTTTGTGTGTTTGTCAGATTAAGGATGTAAGAATACATTTTCTTCTAGATGTGTGTGCTGTTTAAGAAGAATACAGACATGGGGCACCAAAACGGATCAGCAGATTGACTGCACATTTGTGTAATCAGCTTCAGGAACCCTAAGTAGCATATGCCATTGGTTGAGGAAAGTGTAAACAGGAATCTTGGTCTATGCGAAAGTTAGTAAAATTTAAACCATTTTCACCAAGAAGAGATTTAATTTTTTTTTTAAGAAGAAGAAAAAACATAGTCCAGACCCCAGCCCAGAATCATGCCCTAAAATAAGAGTAATTGCTTGTGCAGTCTCTTTGCTACCAGCACTCCTTGTTAAACATACATGAAAAAGAAACAAGAAACAGATAG